TTCATTGCACTTCGTGATGTCGGGCTTGGCTGCAGCTGCTGACTCTGCAGAAAGTTGGCAACTTCAGCGCACAGGTGGCAACCTATCATGGAACCACGCTTGAATTCATTCTTTCACAAATGTTTGTAGACGCAGTCTGCATCCTTAGGTGCTTGATTTTATACGCCTGCGGCCTTGGAAGTGATCGGAACACTTGAGTTCAATGATTCAGAGGGGGCGTCCCAATAGTTGTGACAATATAGTGTATGTAGATTTAACTGTTTAATGAAAACACTCACCAACAAAAAGCTGAATTTTCAATATTTGTCTTGGCTGAAGACGTGGAAAATCACAGGTGTAGTCTCCTCTGTCGGTCACCTTTGTTTTTCTGATGATGATGGAGGCGTTTCCGTACTTCAGATCGTCTTGAAAATGTGAGACACGACCTTTGAACTGCTGATCTTGACCTGGACGGCCGTTGTTGTAATGAAGGCCTGCATCGTAAAAGAAAACCTCCTTCCCACCATCTTTCTTCCAGTCAAAGAGCTTTGACTCAGCGTTCTCCTTGGTGCTGAGGGAACAGGGTAAAATGGCATCACTCCCTTCTTTCACAACCACTCTGACGTCACCCGACCCTGAAAGAAGTTTATTTTAAGTTATTATGTTCAAATCCATTAGGTTCAGACAGAACACCGGATAACAAATTTACATGTCACCTCAATGAAACACAAGTTTATTTTAGACGACTGACTGTGATTCTTAATGCTGAATCATTAATAGCTGTAAGCATGTAGCCCTGGTGCTAATTGTGAAAATATTAGAATATTCCTTTTTGAGACAAAGAAACCAAAAATTGTTACAATTGCCCCCGGTCTCCCCTAGTTCAGGAGTAGAGAGCGACTATGCTAACCGTCAGGTTTGACTGAGAGGGAAAGAGTTCTGGCAGAGGTTTACTCACTATGACCCCACTTACCTCACCGTCCGGATGCAACAGCATCTTGTACCAACAACCAAGTAGAATAGTTCATGGACTCCATGGTCAGGCTGGGCCCGTTGTACCACCGAAACAGCCGGACAGTGTTGGAGCCCTAGGTGAGAGATTTAAAAATGCCCCCCTGCAGCTTTCTGCAGGCTTTCTGCACGTGGTCAAAACTTTCTGCACATTCAGAATCTCTCCCACATCTGTGTTCTCTGACATGTCCACAAAAAAAGTCGGAATAATCGACTCTGAGAATTCACAATATTTTTAAGTCTAGCTGCCCAATACTCTGCTGTGTATTAGCCTACGTTATTGCTGTGCGGGCCTATCCCTGTTACGACCCGGCTCGTGGAGAAAAGGGAAGCAACATGAACCAGAATGTTACTGGTAAAATTGCAAGTTATTTATTTGCACGTATCAGATCTGCTTGGGATCTTTATTTATCGGTAAATATTTCTACTTTTATTTCACTTTTGCTTTGACAATATGGCAATAACGTTCACACACGCGCGTTAGCTTATTTTGATCAGCAGCTAACATAAGCGTCGTAACATTAATTCGCTGAAAACTCTCTGTAAACACTACGACATACAGCCAATCACCATCTGCCACGTCATCTTAGAAACACACGCAAATCACGTTTTGTGACGTTACCAGCAGGCGCAGGCCCCCGAGCACATCTGGTACCTACACCGGCCCTGCACACATATACACAAGTACCTGTGTTTTTTTAATTTTTAATAAATTTGCTCTTTCACCTTGTCATTATTGGATATTGTCTGTAGAATTTTGAGGAAAATAATGAAAAGGTGAAGCTTTCTGGATGCACTGTAAACACAGATGTTAACAGGTAGGCTAATGTAATGTGAATGTCACCGTTGATGAATGTAACGTTAGCTTTGTTAGTCACATTCTTTGAGCATTAAACACTTGATGACAGATCCGAGGAGGGACGGGCCCACGGATCCTCAGTCTCAGGTATTCTGGAGACGTTTTCTGCACCAATTTATGGTGGAAATGTCTTTATTTATATGAAGGTGGCAGGTGACAACTCAAAATATAAAAATAAAATGGAATATAATGCAGTAATCAGCTTTTGGACAATGCACATTTGTTTCTTCTATATTTCAGTTGCATTGCATCTTTTCTTATCGTTTCATTTTCAACATTACTTGTTGTTTTTTCTGATTCTGACCTGTGCCCAAAGTCCCCAGTGTAATTTAAATGACCCCTATGTGTCAATACTTTGAAATGTCCCCTCCCATCCAGGCCGTGATTGATCGGTTACGACAAGTGACAGTTAAAGAAGTGGATGCAAATCTCGGCAGGTAACGTTAGCCTACAAAATTGCATCTGCCGAATTATGCATCCACCTCTTTGGGTCCTGCTCAGACACTTTGCTGTGCTTATTGATCACCAAGGCACGGTGCTTCCGCTAAGTGTATTAAAATATTAAAGACTCTAAACGTTCATAAATTATATACTTCGAATCATTTGTCACCATTGATGAAGCCCACAAAGAATATTACAGCGTTTAAAAGCATTATTTGGAGGTGCATGCAATTCCTGTCCTGCGTACCGGAGCGGCTCACTGCACTGATGTTGAGCGTTAGTTTTCTTACCGTTTAGAAGTCCACGTGTTATTTCAGACAAAGTCAGAAGGCTGAAAGAGAAGACCAGAAGCTCGCGAGCTGTCGACATGTTAGAGAAGGACCTTTAATCTACTGGACTGGTTAACAGTGCTGATAACCTCACTTACTGTTATTTATAAGTTAAATGTCCTGAGTAAACCGACAGTAGAAAGCTCAACATGCACAAGGAAAATCGCTTTTAGACGTCGTTATTCAACACTAATAATAACTACAGACACTTTACATTAAAACAAAACAATGGAAATACAAAGTACAGATATCTCTTGAACACGTGCAGGGCAATTTGCTTTAAGACGTCAGTAGCCTATTTAACACTACTAATCATTTTGGAGCACAAACTCTTTCAATTACAACAAAAACACGGATGCACACTGGTATAAAAGTATATTTGAGATTTACGCTCCACTCCTGCGACTGCCTTACCTCCCCGTGGTATAAATGCCTACAGACAAAAAAAAAAAAAAGGAGCAAGTTGCTTCATCTGGGTATTTTATAGCCTACTTCACTGTCACGTGACTTTCCGCACCAGAGTATGGCGCGCAAACACCACGTTCCTGCATCATAAAGATAAGAAGAAGCTCACAGCACCCTGACCACGACCTCCTCAGCGCAGTTTCCTCTTTCCTGCGTCCACCGCCTAAACTGGCAGCCTAACTCTAAATGAAACCTTAAACTTGCTGATGCAACCGGATGCTCCCGAGAACGTGCTGCACGCACCCAAACCGGCGACCTCGGGTACGGGAGGCGCACGCGCTGGGCTTCGGCTTCAACTCGCCGTTTATCTGGAAACACAGGATAAAGATCACTTCTCCATCACAGACAGAGTTACAACTCCAGCAAGCTTCACGGAGACAGCGCACATGCTACACACACACAGGTCTCCATGGCAACAACATCACTACTCCGAAAAAGGCACAAAATACATAATAAAATAAAAAACAGTGTAAAAAATAAACAGGTGACTAATAATCACATTTAATAATAGGACAGACAGCGGAATCATTAACTACACAGATCAACACCTCATCTTGTCCAGTTTTTTCCAACTGTAGTGCAGCCAACATCTCCACTGTGTAAACCTCTGGTTTTCTTTATGCAGACAGTTATTCATTTAACACAGAAACCATGTGTGATCTGTTCAGTGTGTAACTGTACCTGACAGACCGGCTTAGAGCCTTATTATTATTAAATAAATCTGAATTAAGCTTTAAACTAAAATCTGAAATAAACTACCGCATACTAGACCACATAGTAAATTCTACTTTCATTTTATTTATGGAACTTCGGTGGTATTTAACTTGCAGATGGTTGGATCATCATTAATTAGTTTTTTCCTAAAATCACAAACATTAAAAAAAAGAAAAGAAAAAAAATGCACCTAAATAAAAGCCGTGAAGCAGATTTAAAAATATTGTTTTGTATAAACTGCTTCTGTATTAAACATAGAATAATGAAATTACTAGTTTTTATTGATTAACTGTATTTTAATTCTGTTTATTTAAGTTAATTGATTTTTATAGGTGTTAAAGTTTGTCCTCAAAGAGTCTTTAGAGTTTTAAAAACAGGTTCTAAAAATCAGGCCGATAAAGACTTTTTATTCTTTTCTTTAAAATAAAAACACTGTAGGAATCTTTGTGTGACATTAATGCTTTTATTCAACAGCTGAAAGTAGAGACAGGAAATGAAGGCGAACAGATTTGGAGCAGTTTGCCGTCACTACTTCACCTGGTGAACCGAGTAACAAAAAAATAACTGGGAGAACATTTTTTTCACTAACAAGCAGGCTGTGTGACATCACAACTATTTGGTCCAATCATAGCTCAGTATGGGACCTACAAGTGTGACGTGAAGCGTCCAGTGCAAAAACACACAGAATGAACTTTACAGTGAAACATCTCACATCCAGAAGAGAAACTTTTCATTTTTAACCAGGAAATTTACCACAGATCACTTTTATATGACCTAAAACACAAGTTAGGGGATCTTTGAAATCAGCTTTGCAAAACTTTTTATAAAGGAACTAATTCCTTAGACATGTTTGACCTCAAGAATAGCTTTTTCACAAGAAAACAGACAACGATATAAAACACAACACATTATTCTTCACCATAATGAATAATGCATTTAATACAAACCATTCCTCTAACAAAGCACGAATGAGCAAACGACCATTATATATTAAACTAACTGACAGACTCTGGTTCAGCTCTTCATGCACTTTAATATCTGTGATAATAAACTAGATTTGTTTTGAATATAGTCAGGTTTGTATTTACTGCAGCACCAGTAACATTAACAAAACAGTCAACAAAAACTCACTAGAAATACACCAATCACAGCTCATACAATTCAATACAAGCATAGACATAAAAACAACTGCTTTTCTAAAACGAGTGAACGCCAAAAAAAAAAAGTAAGATTACATTTATCTTTACACACATTTTAAGGTTAAAAAAAGTTCAGTCCCGTCCCACGTTTAGTTGCCTGAAGTACTTTATGCACCAGGCATGAAATGAAAAAAACTAAATGAGGAATATTCGTTGATGATTTTTCCACACAAATCGAAACAGCTGCAGATTAAAAAAAACTAGAGTTTCAGACTTTTGAGCTTGTTAAAATGGACGTGCTCGAATGTTTGAAGGCACTACATGGTTAAGGTAAAAAATTACATTATTATATACAGGACACAGTACAGATTATAATCCCAGACCCAGATCTGGGATCTGCTGCTTTATCAAAGTCACCTGATTATTTAGGTTATCTGTTCTCTTTGGTTTTAGCTCCTGAGCTTTTGGAAATAAATACTTGGATTTGATCTATTTACTAGTCCAGCACTCCAGTTACTGCATTCAGAAGTCTGATTGCATAGAAGTCTGTATGAAAATGACCCGACTTCTCACTTGATTTATCACCTCAGTAAACTCCTGATGAGCTTTAAAAAAAACAAAAACAAACAAGATGGCGACGGCCAATATTCCAAATTCAGGCTCTGAAACGTTAAGAGTGCAAAGAGCATTTACTTATCAAGCGCCTCTACTATGGAACCTGGTTCCAATTTGGGTGCGGGAATCGGATCGCATCACCACTTTTAAGGCTAGACTAAAGACTTTTCTGTTTAATAAAGCTTTTAGTCGGACAGTGTTGAGCAAACTTTAAATTATTATTCAATTTTATCGTTTTATCATTTTACTTTACATTTTATTCTGATTGTATTTTTTATTACATGCATTCTGTATTTTAAGGTTAATTTTATTTAATTTCAGTGCATTTTGTGTACTGGGACCATGTCTTTTGGTGATTTTGCACTTTAAATAAAACCTGACTTGACAAACCAGCAGGTGACGTCACGGAGGCTTCGTCCACTTCTTTATACAGTCTATGGAGAGAGCAGAAAATACAAATGAGATATGATAATAAAACAAGGAAAGAAAATTAATCAGAGCAACATCCAGGGTTCAGAAATATTTTTGAGATCTTAATCAAACAGCTGTTAACAATGTTGAGCTGCAGAGACCTGAAACAAAGACACTTTTCACTTTGTGAAACTTGTTTCACCTTCACTGATCTCTTGTCAGTGGTGCTGACTGTTCAGGAGGCTGCAGACTGTGATGTTGTTGAGCTGCCTTATTAGGGCCCGGACATTAAACACGCAAGGACCCAATTGTTTTTGGCAAAGTAGTCACATTTCTGGCGGCCTAAACATGCTCTAAAACGTGTTAAACTTTGCACACAATTCAATGGCGGCGAAAATGTCATGTCACATGGTTTTCACACACAGGCGTGTAAAAATAGCTCCTTATAATCGCAGAATCAGGCCAAAACACAGCACAGTTTGTTTTGTATAAATCCACTTCAGGGGATAATCAAATCATTTAAATGGTGGTCAGTATCAGCAGACAGGCAGAATATTCAGGACTTTTACTTTCAAATAGAAAAATAAAGAAGTGAATGATGGATAACAATCACAATGAGAACCAGAAATAAAGGCTAGGTAGATTTTTTATGATTGTAAATACCAACATAACAGGCTCCCAGCAGCTCACCTGGTGGAGAACACTGGTTCCATTAGACCGCTCTGTCTCTCTCCTGTTTCTCTGTCTCTTCACAGCTGCTCCTGTTCAATAAAGGGGAAAAGATCAGTTTAATATAAAACAACATAATAGACCAATATCTGAAATGACAAGATCATCATGACATGAGATGGTTTCTGTATCTGTGATGTTGATGTTGCACATGTGAATATGTTGATACAATCCATTATATAAACTCACCTTTATACAGCGTACTGTGATGAACTTTGTAGCTACAAGTGAAGCTAGAACTGCCAGAGCTCCTAAAGAGAATCCACTAAAAAACCATCCTGTGACGTCCCCTCTGCTGCACGTGTCCTCAAACAGTTTCTCTGAAACACACAACAAAACCTAGAGTCACACTCAGAATGTAAACTGTATCTCATGTACAGCACACTGGTTATTACCTACACAGAACTACTACTGAGGCGGCCATGCTGCTAAAGTCTGAAACTATTTACAGATAAAACCAGAGAGATGAATTTCACCTGATGCAGTGATGTTAGCGTTGATCATACAGCTGATGTCGTCCTGCTCGACGACACAGTGGAAGTATTTTTTTTGTTTTACTGTTTTTGGACATTTTATAAACAAAAAAATCAAAATTATTTGGAAAGAGATGAATCAAAAATGAAAATAACTGTTATCTGCAGCCTCACACAAAAGCATCATGATATATATTTCAGATCTGAGCTTTTATCAAGATAAGTTTAAATATTAAATAATATTTACACCTCAAAGTGTGTACATTCTGTCAGTGAGAAATATCTTGAAACTGATTTCATGTAAAGTACCTACAGAAAAGTATCTTATAGTTATCAGTCACATCAGTTATAATCGTTTTATCTCATTTAACTTGATTTTATAAATCGTTGGAAGCCAAAATCATAATTGAGATTAAATTTTTTATAAATGCACACACTTAGATTTCTGATCAACAAATATTTATTTGTTTTAACAATAAATATTGTTACCTGTTTAAATTGTCGAGTAAAAATTCTGTGCCTCAGCGCTATCAAAGTATTACCACAAACTATTATTTCTTATATTTAGAGTTAAAAGTCTGGTTCTAGTTTTTAGTTTAGTTTGTAGTTAAAAAATAAATTGTCCTCATGTTTGTGGTTCATGTTTGACTTGGCTGCTGTAACTCTGCGGTTTCTCAGAGGGATCAATAAAGTTTCTCTCTCTCTCTCTAATCTACCTTCAGAGAGTCTCTGTGTTTTATCATTTCACTCAGAGCCTCAGGATCAGGCTGCAGCAGCCATTTATAAATCTGTTCCTCACCTAAAAAATAGTCACTAGTTACTAAAAATTAAGCACTATTATATTTTAAATAGAAAGTTTTAAAGAATAAATGGTAACATATAGAGGAGATGATCCTCATCTTCCTTTGTGAACTTCATGTATGATGTGGTTTATAATGGACGGTGGTGCAGAAACAGTGACATCTAGTGGTGAAGGCTGGAAACTTCACTAAGACTGAAAGGATCAGCAGGACTATCAGACTGAATGGTTCTTACATTCTCAGCTCGTTGTACTTCCCCTTTTTTATGTGTAGCGAGCTCTTCCTGCCCAGCAGTCGGAGGTTAGAGACACACGGCCAAATACTGCTGATTAACGTGATTATTTTGATGTCATCAGGGAATGCGTACATACAGGAGACATCCTCACTGAAAACCAGTTTTAAAGTTTTAACTTTAACTCTCATTCACACCTCCTGCTACTCCTCCTCCTCCTCATTTCCCTTCTTGCGAGCGACAAACACACATTTGTGTTGTCAGTCACATATTTCCTGTCCTGCGGTCTCTAGTTCTCTCAGCTTCCCTTCTCTGGAAACAGACGCCTTATCGTCACATGCATCCTCCGTTTCCTCTTGCAGAGAGAAGCCCAGGCAGAGCTCTTCAAACATGAGAGAAAAGTCACTCACGATGATACAAGATGTATTAAAGAAAATCTGAACAGCATGATTAATAAAACATTGTACTTTTGTTATATGAGCTAAGCTGTTAATGACTCTCACTCTGACCTGGCTTGTATATGTCGCCTATGACTGTTTCCAAAAGTCTTTGTTCGTCAGAACCGGCGTCCTTCTCTTCACACTCTTCTTGTTCTTGTGTTTGATCAGGCTGATCTCTTTCCAACAAACCTCAGATCTTTCTGTTCTGTTAAGTCTGAGTCTCAGTGTAAGTGTGAAGATTCAACTTAGTTTGAAACATAACAGGTGAACTGTTAAAATGAAACAGGAAGAATCTCACCGCTTATAAACACGTAGGTCTCGGCATAAATCTGATGTTTGATCTCCTCCTGTGTGGCTACACAGCGATAGTTGTCGGTCTTCTTCACAGTAGTTTGGAGGATGATGTAGAAGCTGCCTCCTCTTTCTGAGACCTGTGGCTCCTCAGCAGGAAGTTTATTTCCAGCACTGTCCTGCCACTCTACTGTAGGTTTAGGAAAAGCACCTCGAACGTCACACTGCAGCAGGACCCAGTCCTGCGTTTGATTAAGTATCTTGACAGACGGCTCTGGAGATGCTCCTGTGAACACAGTAAACAGACACATCAGCTATAAAAGGACAATAACAGGATTATAAATGTAACACTGTGATGTTTCTTGTTCGTCTCTTCTCTGCTTGTAAATGAGGATTAAAGTGTGTTTAACAGAAAAACACAGAGGAACAGAAAAGCACAGTATCAGCCTCAGTTGCTCCTCCCAGCATTGTTAGATAGGACATGATATTTCAAACATTTCTAACTTCTACCAAAAGTCTGGAAACTATTTACAGCTGCAAACACTGTTTCTGACTCATATCATGACAGAAGCTCAGATACAGTGAAGACGTTTGGACAAACTCAATTTTTACATTTGTTGAGCTGAAAAAATTACCTTGAAACGACGTCACATGAAATCTGTTGTCTGATATGTCGACAATATTTTCTGTCACACTAAAGTAAAATAAACATGTGTTATAAAATATGAAACAGGGTCTTGAAAAGCATGTGCACCCCTAACTGTGTCAGTGAGACATTCACTCAGCGGTCACTTTATTAGGAACACCTGTACAGTCTGATGCAGTCCAACACAACTGTTCTGTCTTTAAGTTCACTTTATGATGATTAGAGATGGTGTTGATCTGGACTGAATTATATTTAAAAGGTGTTTCTAATATTCTGGGAGAATTTATAGCAGAGCTGCCCTAATGAACTGCAACACATTGTTCAGGTATAAATCTAGTTTTTTCAAATATTAAAAGCGGGGTTTGAAAAGTACGAACACCTCAAAGTGTGTGAGAGTGTTCACTGATTTCATATGACATGAAAAGCATCTTTCAGTTATCAGTGTAACTGTAGAAACTGAGATTATAGTCTAAGCTGCTGGCTGATTTCTGTGCTCTGTAGCGTGCTGCAGTTACTGCAGAGGTAGACTAACTGAACACAGTTTCACCAACGATGTAACAGCCTTTTACATCGGACCTTAAAGACAGATCAGGAGAAACTAGAGGTGACTTTTGATTTTAATGTCTCTGATCTCTACATCTGCAATGTGTGTGCTACAACTCTTAGTCACCTGAGATCTGGGATATATTCATAAATTTTATCATTATGTCCACAATGAACCAAGCCAACAAAACATCTTCAGATGTTACATCAGCTTCAACTGATCAGTCAAACAGTGCTGCTGCTGGAAACAGGTAGTTTCACTGCAGGTCTAAGTGTACGTTTAACAGGAAATAAACTTGGAGCCATTTTAATGTTTCTGTTCAACACAGTCTCACTCCCTACTCGTCAAATGTCTGACGCATGGTCAAGGCCCTTTGTCGTCGCTTTTTAAAGACTTGGGTAGCCCTTTTGCATCAATTATTGACGTTTAGGGATCCACAGTCAAGTTAGCAACGCTTAGCAACAATAAATATGCAATATCCGGTTACACTTTCAAGATAAAACGTAACGTTTCGATACATTGCCATGTTGAAACGCGCATAATTAAAGTCGTGAAACGTTGCAGTTTCGTTAAGTTTAGGCACAGAAAGTACTTTCGTTGGGTTTAGGCAACAAAACTACTTGGTTAAGGTTAGGAAAAGATCATGGTTTGGGTTAAAATAGCTATGTATGTCAATTAAGACTTAAGTTAACTAACGTTAATGTCAATTTACCTCACTCGCCTAAATAAAAACATTTAATGTTTTGTTTCGCACGGGACACAAACCCTGTTCTCCTGCTTCAAGGTCCGGGTTCTGGCCCTCTATCCACCCCAATCACCTCCTTACTTCGTCTTTTCTCTTAAATATAAAACTGACACAACAGGGCTTCCCTCAATACGTCGAACTATGACGTCAAAGGGATCCCTAGTGCGTCACAAACTGACGATTATGGCTCTTGACCAAGCGTCCATATGTGACGACTTGGGAGTGAGACCGGGTTGTTCTGTTTGAATCAGTGAAATAGTCTGTAGAAGCTGAGCTGCTGGACTAAAGAACCACATCAAGTATCTCAGAGTGAACTTTGTGTGTTTGTGTCCCAGAATCAGCTGATAATCAGCAGATGTAGAGATCAGTAACATCAACATCAGGACAGACCGCTGATTTCACCTCCTCTGGTTTATAAGACAGACGGCTGTAGATCTGATAGATGTCTGATCAATACATGTTTGATCTCTATCCTGAGGCCCAGAGAGTTGTAGCACACATTACAGATGTAGAGATCAGTGACGCACCTGTGATTTCTCCTGATCGGTCTCTGAAGGTGAGCTCTGAAAGAGAACATTAATTAACACAATTAGAACAGTAATTACTGCACAGATGATCGATGTCACACTTTACTGTGCTGTAAATATGAAGCTGCAGGCAGCAGACAGCTGGGCTAGCTTAGCATAAAGACTGAAAGCAGGGAAACTAGCAGCAGAAGACCAGCAAGTCAGCAAACACAGATTAAACAAGGTTAGATATAAAATACTCACTAGTACTACTACTAAAATACTGCAAGTGTTTTACGAAGAGGGAAAAAACAGAATATGTTTCTGGGAGTAAGACTGAATATAAAAACTTTTA